CGGGTCCAGTTTTCATGTAGACAAGGTCTTAGTCCATCTTTGTATCCATCACCAGATGTGCTCCCATCTGTGCACCGCCCTATGTTCCCAAGGACTCACATTCCCACGGACCCGTGGCCACCCCCACCCCACCATGGAGCTCTCCATCATCCTCTATATAGAAGAACTAAACCCATCAGTTCTGTCTGCAGGGACCATCCCCCTCCAAAGGGCCCGAATGGCCCCGTGGGCATCTGAGCGGGGAGCCCTGTTCCCTGGGGGATGAATTGTTCCATTTCTCCCACTCACCTTCTCCATCCAGCTCCGTCGGGGGCGGATCCGTCTGCTGGGACCCAGCTGGGTCAGTTCACTTGGTGGGATTAAAATGAGCATCTGCTGGGATGGGGGAGGGAGGGAACCGAGAACTTAGGCCCGCGGGGGGAAGCCGCTGAAAAGGTGACACTGCTCGGCCCACGACCTAGCGTTTCTTTTGGCTTTGATTGTCCGGCCTGGTGGGGAGTGAATTCAGCGCTGGGGCCGGTGCTGACTGGGCAGCCCCTGGACCCCAACTCCATTGTGCATCCCCGGACCAGGGAAGACCAGGGCAGCATCCCCTGGGAAAGGCCCCTGTTCTGCAGCTCCCCATGGGGCAGGGATCCCCCCTCCCTCAGCCCCGAACCTCCAGCAGCAGCTGCTGCCCCCTTGCTGTTGAACCCCCCAGTGATTCCGTCCCTACCCCCATCTGGGCATCCCCTCTGCTGGGCCCAGGGCTCAGGGCAGAGCCTGGCTCTGAGCGCCCCATTGGTGCAGAGACCCCCTGATCAGTGGCGTGAACAGGAATAAAAATGTAGCTGCTTTTGGAGGGGCACTTTGTGTGCTCCCCGCAGGGCTCTGCTCCCCGGAGGAGTTCTGTGCTCCGGACCCACTGATTCGAGGGGCCTGCGCCTGCTTCCTCCCTTGCACATGCCGCTGCCCCGAGGGTCCAGCTGGGTGTGGGGCTGGGATTGGGGATACTGAGCCGGGCCCCTCACCTGCTACCACCAGCTCCACAGGGTCACTGGGATACGACCAGATGAACGGGTACCATTTGTGGTGATAATAACAGCTGTAGCTCCCTGCGTCTCTCCGGCTCACGTTGCTGATGGGAAACTCAGCCAGGTCCCCAGCAGGCTCCGCGTACTGCACCGCATTCGGGTTTCCATCTTTGTACAGAAGGAACCTCACGTTCTGGTACCAACCCCGACACCGGATGGTCACAGCTCCCCCCAGGGCGACCCCCCCGCTGGGGCGCAGGGAGATGGAGGGTTTGGGGTAGTAGGTCTCTGCAGTGAGAAGGAGACAGGGCGTGAGACAGACCCCGGCACAGTCACTGCGCCCCGTCCTCGCCGCACGGTCCCAGAGACGGGGCCCCTGGGAGAAAACCCAGCCAGAGGAACCTCTCCGAGATCCCAGAGATTGCTGGGAGCTACGCCCGGAACTGCCTAAAATCCAGAGCATCCCTCTCTACCCGTCTATCTCCTTAACGGGGCCCAGCAACCTGGGAGCCAGGACTCCTGGGTTCTATCCCTGACTCTGGGAGGGGAGTGGGGTCTAGTGGTTAGATCGGGAGGGGGCTGGGAGTCAGAGGTGCTGGGTGCTGCACAGACACGGTGAGAAAAAGACCCTGCCCTAGAGCCAAGTCCTGATGATCTAACCAGACACAAGGTGCAGGAGGCATGATTATCTCCCATTCGTACAAGGGGAAATGGAGGCACAGGCAGGTTAAGTGACACCCAAGGAGTGTCCCATCTGCCCAGAGACCCCCATGATGGTCTGGTTGGGTATGGGGCTGGGAGCGGGGATGCCGAGTCGGGCCCCTCATCTACTACAATGATCCGCATGATGTCACTGGCATCCGACCAGTTGGGTGGCTCTGATCTGGAGCGAGATTGGCACTTGTAGACACCTCCGTGTTCCCACCTGGCGCTGGGGATGGTGAATTCACCCCCGTCCCCACCAGCATCCAGCTCCCAGATTTTGATTCCACCTTTATACAGAAATAACCTCCTGGCCTCGCACCAACACTGACAGCGGATGGTGACGGCTCCCCCCGGGTGATCACCCCGCTGGGGCTGACGGAGATGGAGGGTATAGGCGCAGGGAGCTCTGCGTTCACACACAAACAGGCGTGAGATGAGGAGACGCAAACCCCTCCCCGTGTGTCTGTAACCTGCCCTTAGCGCCCAGCCCCAGGGACAGCGCCAGGGGTAACAGACACCTCACTGCACCCACAGGGAACTGCATCTACTAATGTGATATATGCTATCATGTGCCAGCAATGCCTCTCTGCCATGTACATTGGCCAAACCGGACAGTCTCTACACAAAAGAATAAATGGACACAAATCTGACATCAGGAATCATAACATTCAAAAACCAGTGGGAGAACACTTCAACCTGTCTGGCCATTCTATGACAGACCTGTGGGTGGCAATATTGGAACAGAAAAACTTCAAAAACAGACTCCAACGAGAGACTGCTGAGCTGGAATTGATATGCAAACTAGATACAATCAACTCAGGATTGAATAAGGACTGGGAATGGCTGAGCCATTACAAACATTGAATCTGTCTCCCCATGTATGTATTCTCA